TGGAGGTTCTGTGGAGGTACCGTGGAGCTTCTGTGATAACGGAGAGGCGTCGATCACAACACATGCCCGCGCGCAAAGAAGAAGCGTGTGGCGCGGCGAACTGGTTTTCTTTTTTGTGTACACTACGAATGCGCATGCTCCGTTGGGTGCATGTGCGCAACCACGGAGACTTTGGGGGGGGAACCTTTTTCACAAGGGGACATGGGCGGGTGCCGGATGCCACCGGAAACGCGATCAGACGCCTGCCCTTGCCCCGCGGTTTCGGGAGGAAGCCTCGGTTGTGCCACAGAAGCGCTACGCTCCCCAGATGTGCTGGTGAGATCGCGCCCGGAAACTCCGCCTGTCTTCCGTATCTCTTGCGTGGCTACTGTTGCGTGTGACCGCAGCCTCTGTTAGCTTAACGGAACAGTTCATTTAAACTTTGGGTATGATCCACAACACCTGTATTATGCAGTGACACCTCATTGTGTCCCCCCAGCACCAACATAGCCAGCAGAGTGCTGAAAACTCCAGCATACCTGGAAACTGAGATACTACATAATCCTATCTTCTGCAAAGATTGCTGATAATGAGTTTAACTTCTTGCTTTCTGATAAATCCCCTGAAATCACTGCATCTGTAGCTGTATTCCTTTGACTTGTATGGGAGCTAAGGGCAAGAGTTTTAACACTTAGTTTTTAATGTATAATTTAATTTTGGGATATGTTATTCTGAATTGACTATGAACTTTTCTCCCTCTACTATTGTGGTATAAACCCCTTAGTTTTATCATTTTTATCTTTCTGTAACACCATGCCATGCCCAAAAAGGTCGATGATGATGTTGATGATGATGACATAATCCATCAGCCCTCCACAGCCTCAGATGGTACAATGCCTGCCTGGAGCAGTCAAAAGCAAGATATAATAAAAGGAAACAGAGGAGTCTGGGTTTCAGTGGCTTAAGTCTGGAAGACAGGACAACACGGGCATCTCTTATTCCCATTGATCTCACTTTGAGCACTCTAGTACGACTGCAGCATCTGTTATTGTGACTTTAATCTTCAAATCAAGGATGACCAATACTGTTTTTTGTAATATGAATATGGGGAGAACGGTAACCTACGAAGATTCAGAGGCCAGATTTTGCCCTCTGCTGTTTCCTTAAGATGGCCTCTGTATGAGTCTAACAGATGCTTTTGACCAAATACTGTTCACAAGACAAATGATAGAAAACTCAGTTGACAGCTGAAAACCTACAGTCTAATTGTGACTAGTTACAGAAGGACTTATTGATGGCACTTTGATTCTACCACAATTGTTAAGCTTCAATCAAATATCCAAGTTATAACACCTTGTAATGGTGCAACAGTGGATGCATGTTAGTGGTCACAAGGGTCAATTACTGTGGTTATTTAATTATGCTGTATTTTTAGTAATAGATGAAAGAATACCTCTTACATGCATTTGTAAAAGGAATCATATAAATTATTGCAAGTATATATGTTCTACATATAAGGCTGAACTATATTCATTGGCTTATTCAGGGATTTTTGTTTCTGCTTGGCAGAAAAACAACTTGAGGAATGTCCTCCACCCTCTCCTGAAAAATATACATTGCTGTGGAAACAAAGACACGGTTTCATAATAACCTCATTAGAACTGCAGGCGAGGAGAGGCAGACAAAGAAAAAACTTGAACCCAAACACAAAAGCCATAGGCTCTTTTTGAGCCTATTAACTGGTTGCCCCACAAACCCCAGTTTTTACTGGGGGCAAAAGTTTCACTGTAAACTCCATCTTTATGGTCTCATTGTGAGCTGTCATGATGTGAGATCAATTAGCAATGAAATTGTCACAGAAATTATTTAATTTTTGCATGTTCATTACACAAGGTAATTACCACAAACTATTTAAGCTCTTTTAATTTTGGTCTTAAAGGGTAGGGGAGAAAGACAAGGACTAAAGTTACTTGCCAACCTTTTCAGTAATTGGTGTGCATTTCATAAACATGCAGCCTAGATTTTCAGTGACTTGACTAAATACAATTTGTTTCTATTGAAGAGTTCTCATGCCAAATTATGCACTCACGGATGCCTAATGGGGTGAGCTCTGCCTCCATAGGATGAAATAGATCTTAAGCCATTCACTGGCCCAAATTCCTTTGCATTCTACCCCAGTTCAATATTTTAATTGGTTAGGTTGGGCTATGCAGATGGCTACTCCATTGTAGTATCACAAAACAGCCATTAGACCAATGTTACAGGGATGGTAGACTAACATGGTATGTCAACACAAGTGTTTAGGATACCTGCTCTCTTACTAACAAAATAGTCTGATAGTTTCAAATGTTGATCTATTATAACATCCTTATTAAGAATGTAATAACATGTAATGTTTGCTATATTAATTCCCTTCAAGGATTTAACTTTCAGTATTTCAAGACTGACCGGAACGATGCTAGGAATTCCCACAGAAAAAGCATGCCTCTTTTAAAGTTTGAGACTGAAAATATTTTCTCTCCCCCTCCTCCCTCCATCAGTACTGCAGGGAAATGCTTCAAAACACTGGCTGTTTCAAACCCTCGAAATACGGAATGCTTATCAGTGTTGCAGCAACTTTATTTTTACTCTGACAGAACTATGGACAGTGTAATGCATAATAAAACTGAACTATTTGATAGATTTGGACAGCTGTGTCATTCTCTAGAAGTTCACATTTTGTTAACGTCACCCCCACGTTGAATAAGAGAAGATTAGATGGTAAGGTCAACTTACAAAAATGGTTGTCAGGACATTTTTTTTAATTGTAAAACTTTTTGTGACCTGATTCAGTAAAAAGACTATGGGGAGAAAGCAATGGAGACAAAGGCCTGCTATTAACCTACAGATGCAGGCTATTGCAGGGTTCATTGCAAGATTTGTCACACTGCTTAGCCAATGATGTGCTAGCAGGACTGGAAGAGACCACCCTTTTCTGGGGGAAGAGGGCAATTTGGTCTCCATGCTCATTTAATCCTGAACCTTCTGTGAATAGAGTGTCAGTTGGACCTACATTGTGTGGAATTATGCATGCACTTTTTAATGCAGACCATTGTTCAGTAAGCACTCGACCAAGATTTCTCAACCAATTTCCATTTGTCATGAGGTCACTTCAAACTCAAAAGTAATCATAGGTGGATGGTAAGTGTAGATTCTGTATCCTCCTTCTGTCTCTAAAGTGAGACATTTGGACAAGAACAGCGACGATTATGTTTTATTTACCAATTACTGTTGCACTAAAATGTAAGAAATAGCTCAGTTTCATTAGTGAAGGATTCATAACACAGACATTAATAGAGTTCATTTTAAATTTGCCTGAGAACATTTGGTTAAAGATTCATGCTCCTGTGCTTAAAACATCGGGCAGTGTTGGTAGAAGATCATGCATTTGATGAAGCCCAAGAAGGAGGACAGTCTTGCTCTTCCCAGCTCTCTGTGTGGGAAGGCTACTCTGTAAAAACAATAACATGGAGGAATCGACATAAACTGTAATTATGCACACATAGACCAGGCCACAAGTATTGCATGAAAAAAGTTTTTAAATTCTCAAGATGATCCTGCAGTTCAAACAGGAATACTTTAACAATTTTGAATACAGCATGTACACCAAATTTATCGATACATTTACAAAAAAAACCCCAAGGAAACAGTATTCTGTTAATTCCCCCACCCCAATTTACATTTTAACCACATTTAGCAAATAATCTTAATTTTACTGATTTATACACGTATCCTCTTACACAGACAAGGCTTGTTGAAGTGAGTTCCCATCCAGGGAAGTTCCAATTGGTGTGAATTCTGCAATAGATTCTAATAACATAAACAGGCCAGTTGTAACATAATGGAAAGAACTCTCTAAATATTACAGTGATTGGTTGATTGGTGGTGATTCTCCGTTGATTATGAATAAAAGTTGTCACAAGGATACATTTTTACATTAGGTCCACAACACATTAAAGAATGTGTTTGCTCTTTCATTCCCCGTCATTCCAATTAAGTTGGAGAAAAATGTAACTTTAGTATTTTACAGGACATGGCAAAGCTGTTCATCTAGGTGATGTCTATATTATAAAAAAATAAAATAAAATAATATAAATATGTAACACAAACCCAGTGCCCATTGTTAAATAAGATATTCAATAAAAAGCAGACCTTTTCGAATTGACTGGTTTTAAAATATGCAGATATAATTTAATTAAGAACTTGAAATGGTGTGGAAATTAAGCTGCAATAGCCATATTTTTGCATCTATGCCAGGTTAAGTAGTTAAGTGCATAACATTCTGTTACATTGATAAATGTGTGGATTACAATCTTACAATGAATTGTTTATATAAGAATGTATTAAGGAGTTCTGAAGTATTGCCTTATATAGATAGGATGGATTCACATAGCTATTGTTCTTCATATGACGGATGCGATTTTCATAGCTTGGTAATCTGAAACTTCCACTAGGTGAAAGCTTTTAGCACAATAGACTTTTAATCCTGTTTAGACAATACCTTCCAATGGAGGTGGGGTGGGGGAATGAGAATGAATTTACCATAACATGAATTGGGTGACAACTGCTCATCTGAATCCACCTACCATTTTTTGCACATTAGTCAATAATTAAAATTTTGTAATTACATTCAGCCATTTCAAAACTCCTTGCTGATTGCTATAATTAAATAGTTACAGACATAAAATTGGTGGGACATCAAATAATTCATGGTGACATAAATTTCTTGGTGGCTAACCGTGGAATTTCTGTGTAAACTACTTCACATGAGGAAATATAATTTTAATATTCCACTAGTTATGCAACCAGATGTTTGAGTGTGAATCATACATTTCTGCTTCACTGAAAACATTAAGGCAGATCTACAAACCCAATGAAATCACTGGAGTTAAAAAAGCAGGGTAACAGTCTTTTGTTTTTTAGAAAAGAGAAGATTCAAAAATAAATGCCCATTGAAAATGTGGTATCCAAATAGTCCCGGAAACTATACAATGTAGCTGGTTAGATCCAGCAAATAAGATGTCATGTCTATGATCTGATCAAGAATACCTGCCCTTGTCACTCTTCGGATGTTTCTATCCACTTGTTCACACTGAAGCCCAAGATATCCCTTTTTACACATGCATTTGTTTGGTCGTATGCAGACACCTCCATGTCGACATGCTGGGTCACATTTTGCTGTTAAAACAGAAGCTCTAATTAGATAAGGTTCCTGAGGATTAGAAGCTTTGTCCTATGTGCAAATGGGATCTACTTCCTTTTTATATGCCACTTAGGGCTCTTTTTGTAGCAAGAACTCCTTTGCATATTAGGTGACACACCCCTAATGTAGCCAATCCTCCAAGAGCTTACAGAGCTCTTCTTACAGGGATCCAGGGATGGCTGTAATCTATTTAGAAAGAGTGACAGTGTTCACAGAAGCTAATGAAAAGATTAGTATGTCTTCTGAACTTTCAATGTTTTTATTTTTATTTGTTCAATTTGTTCAATTTATATCTCACTCAACTCTCTCTTTCCATGAGCAGGCTCAGGGCAGGTAATAACAAATCGTTTACAAATCATTAAAATCATTAAAACCATTATAACAGTAATTCACTTAAATCCATTGTTAAAAGATGGCAGGTTATATATTAATCTATAAGGTTCCAGCAGTGCTGAACTGATGACAGCAAGAGTATCAGCAGAAGCAACAATACCATCTTTGCTTACATTGGCAGATGTAATAGGGCAGTTTCAGTAAGGGAGGCCAGATTATTGGGTTTCTACTATCTCAACCAAAGGCCAGGCAGAAAAGCTCTGTTTTACAGGACCCGCAGAACTGTAATAGGTCCCGAAGGGCTCTGATCTCAAGTGGGAGCATGCTCCACCAGTCGGGGGCCAGGGCGGAAAAGGCCCTGGCCCTGGTTGAGGTGAAGCAGATGTACTTTGGGCTGGGGACAACCAGCAAAAGTTGGTCAGCTAAGTGCAGGGATCTCCGGGGGACATATGGGGAGAGACAGTCCCATAGATATGTCAGTCCCAGGCTACACAGGGCTTTAAAGGTTAGTACCATCACCTTGAAATGGCTTCAGTATTCAATTGGTAGCCAATGCAACTGGCGTAGCACCAGCTGAATGTCTGTCTACACAGGTGTTGCAGTCAACAGGCACACCACTGCATTTTGCACTAGCTGGAGTTTCTGGTCAGATTCAAGGGTAAGCCTGCACAGAGCAAGTTACACTAATAAAACCTGGAAGTGACCATTGCCTGGGTCACTGTAGTCAAGTTCCGGGAGGAGAGATAAAGAACCAGTTGCCTGATCTCTTGAAGATGGTAAAAGGCAGACCTAGCAACAGCGGTGATCTAGGCCTCCATAGAAAGTGAGGTATCTAGGATCACCCCTAGACTCCTTACCCTCAGCACCAGCACCAATGGTGCTTTGTCCAGGGCTGGGAGCCTGATTCCCAAATTTACCCCCCCCCCAACTCTGTCTTTGTTGGGTTAAGTTTCAACCTGCTCTGCTGTGACCACCCAGCCATGGCCTCCAGCACTCTGTCCAGATTATCTGCGGTGGAGCCCAGATGGCCAGGTGGGTGTAATCAGCATACTGGTGACAATCCAGCCCAAACCTCTGGGCCAACTGGTCGAGGGGGCGCAGGTAGATGTTGAACAGCATTGGTGAGAGGATCAACCCCTGCGGCACTCCACATTCTAGTGGGTATCACAGGGATACTGTCTCACCAAGCACCACCCTCTGTCGCAACCATGGAGAAAGGAGGAAAACCATTGTAAGGTAGTCCCCCTTATCCTACGTTGGCAAGGTGGTGGGTCATTTGATCATAGTTCTTTCCCAAAATAAATTGCCCTAGCTAGAGGACTGGGATGTCCCCTTTGAACAGAGAACTTGGTTTTCTTTGCCTTTGAGGGGTGGTGAAGGCAAAAGTTTTCCAAGAATGCTACAATTCCGTGTTTCAGGTATGTTCCCACCTCATGTGTATATTGCACTTGTAATCCAAATTATCCCCCTGCCCCAATCAAGTACTTTAGTTTTGCTCTTGCATTAACAGATAAATTGACTGAAATGTTTTGGTTGGAACAGCATCTCCCTTACAGGCAAATGTAGTTGTATGTTTGGTGATTGCAGCAAACCCTAAGTATGCTTTTTCACTGCTGCAGTCTCATAACTCTTTCTTTCTGCATATATGCAATTAAATTTATAAATAATTCCCATATATGTTGCACAGAAGCCATTTTCAGAATTCTTTTTGCACTGGTTATTAAATATCTACGTGCCACAACAAAAGCAACTTTAAGATTTATATATCTAGGTTGAATTTTCTAGCCTCTCCTTCCAGGCTCCCCCCCCCCATTCATTATTTACAGCTAGAGGCTTCAGTACATGCACGTATTTTTTTTTTAAACAACCTTTCCCCAAAGGCTTGCAGGCTTTTTGATGATTACTATGGCCAGAGTACTAACCAGTTCTGCAGAATTCACCTTCCCAGCCTTGATTACAGCAACATTTTCCGGTGGGAGTGCAGTGTCCATTTCGACAATGCCTTGAGCATTCAGATGTCAATATCTGGGCAGAAAGAGCTGGTATTTTGCATTCTTCTGGAACTAAAGGCCTGTAGAAAAATATACAATCAACATATATATTTAAAAGTCAGTGTCAAACAGAAATTGTTTACACCCAGGCTAGATTCTTCCCACTGCAAAAAAAAGCTGTTTAAAATCATCTTTGTTGCATGTACATTGTAGAAAAATAGATATTACAGATGTTTCAGACTTTTTATGACAGTTAAATTCACTGTTCTACAACAAGTATTACAAACTTAGTCAGCAACAACATTTTCAGGGAAGCCCTTTAGATGTAACAAGAGGGGGACCCGCGATACTCATGGGGGGGGGAGAAGAGCTCCGTCTCCTCTCCCCCCCGCTCGTTCTCCCCCAAGCGGCGGCGGCGAGGCCGGTCCCCCTCCGCCCGGCTCCGAGGCGGAGAGGCCTGTCCTCCCCCCCTTTGCCGAGCTCGGCGGCGGTGGCAGCGGCCGGCGAGGCCTGTCCTCCCCCCCGCCCGCCGGCTCCGAAGAGGTGGTGGTGGCAACGAAGTCATTCCTCCCCGCCCGCTCGGCCTGCCTGCCTGCCGGAGAGGAGGCGGCGGCGGCGGCGAGGCCGGTCTTCGCCCGCCAGGCATCCTGGCCTGCCTGCC